AGTGGTGTGAACCATCCAAAGTAATCTAACATAAAATACCTCCTGCTTTCTGTGAATATAGCTCTACAGCCTTCATCTATTTCTATTCTTTCTCCAGTCTATTTTCTCTCCCGTCGCCTGCTTCGAGTACAACATCGCTCTGGTTTCCTCCATATAGACACAGAAGTCTACAATCTCTTCCTTGATAACTAAGCTTTCATCAATATTCTCTACAGGATCACATGAACAAAGACAAAGCATAGCGTCTTTTGAACATGCTTCATTCAACATGCATGTTGCCCTTTAAGTGTGTGACGATCAATCAGAGAGAAATTAACTGACAAGGCCAATTTAGTACTGCAGTATATACATTTAATCCCGGCTCTCAGCAGGACGGAGACAATTTCAATCTTTACACTTTGTGTGAGAGAGAAATATAATTGATCCGTCTAATCACTAACTTTGACCTACGCGAACGTGAATGACGAATAATCGATGATCTCTTAACTGTGCTCAATACTCGTCTACCACTGCTGAGCCGAAACATAACACACAGCTGCTGTTTCTGTTCCAGAGTCGGTGGAGTCGCGGTGCATTTGGATGTGAAAAGGTGCCGCAGATGTGTGTGTGTGTGTGTGTGTGTGTGTGTGTGTGTGTGTGTGTGTGGGTTGCAGCAAACATTCCCATTCGGAGCGATATGAAACAGACTGAATATTTTCCCTTTTGCACTGCCTGCAGTCTGGCACATGAAACACACACTCACAAATACACACATGCACCTACACACACTTAATGCTAGCAAACAGACTGTGTAGTTAAGAACACACACACACACACGTGATCAAACACTCACACACACTCACTCACACACCTGCAGCCTCTCGCCGCCGCTGATGCTCGTGCATAACAAACGTCGCCTCCATCAGGCGCCGCTGTCACCCGCAGTGACAACAGCAGGCTAACGCTCTCTGGAATACAGCACGCATACATTACAGCTGCACACACTCGCTCCAGCTTCAGTCTGATTATCTTTCCACCCACCACTCAACATCTGATCGTGCTGAGTCCCATAATAACACGCTCCGTCTCATTCACTCCAACGCAGGAAGGACACGTTGTCACAATTATGCCTTTAAAAGCTAGCAAAGGTCAGAACAATGCTGGTTTTAAGTCTGAGCGAGAGTGACGTAAATCAATTCTGCAAACACGTATTCGTCATCCAGCGGGTGTGAGCTGCCAACAAGTTTGTTTCCCCTCGCCGCCATCAGCTCAGTGCTTTCAGTCCTGTTGGTTTTCTTTAAGTGCGTGCCTGTAAACGTCTGCTGTCTAAAAACTGAAATATTCAGTTCCACCATGTGGTTTAAGTGGCGACATGCCGCCTGAGAGGTTGTTTGTGAAAGAGTGCCGTCGGCAGCACTTAAGTACACATAATACGCATAATCACAGCAAAGAACGTCCTCGAGGGGAGCCCTTTCCCAGCTTTGATACAGCACTTACAGACGCATGTGCAGTGGCACAAACCCGAGGTGTCGTATATAAGGAAGGAAAAGGGAGAAGATGAGAACAGAAGGAAAGGAGGGGAAAGGATTTTTCTTTACAACTTTTGTCCTCTTTTTGTAGCTTTTCACAAACTTCCCTGCTCAGATTTTGGGGATGCAACAACAAATCCATTTCATCGAAAACCACCACACTTAAAGTTCGAGCAGAATCACTGTAAACACATGAAGACTTTGTGGCTTTAGCAGAGGATGTCAGCTTGTATTTACAACCATTACAGTGGTGGCCCAGTTCACAAAGAAAAGAAAATCGAAACGTCCATTACTCACACTGCAGCTTTCCAACTGTCTTCTACAAGCTCAGAGTGCTTCAGACACACAGATCTGTGGCTACATGACGCTCCATGAGGCTTCATTCAGTGCTTCTGTTAGTGGTTAGCATCGTGTGCAACATAGAAGTTAAACGTTTGTTCACTCCTCTTGACTAATAAAAGCTGGAATTGTGACAATAAACCGAAGTTGGGACGAAGTCAACTCCAGAAAGTCCTTGTTTTTCGAGTAGAATATGTTTACAACCTTTAATGTTCATAAAATGAATTCTTTTTCTCAACGGAACATTTCTGCAACTAATTTGGAAACCGATTTGTCATCTTATTTTGTGTGAAGTGAATGTAAGAGTAAGGGAGGGAGGGAGGATCATTGCTGTTAACTCAGTGCACACTTTTTAAATAACACACCAACCTTTTATCTTGAAAATACTCGATACCTTCCTGCATGTCCAAAGATTGAACTCTGAAGTCATTGGTGTTAAAGTCGAGTTGTCTTTTTGATTATTTTTTTTTAAATCTGAAGACATCAGATTTTGGGACTCGAGTTCAGAACTCTGGACTGAACTTGAAGACAAAACAACAAACTAAAGAGCCGACAAACCCTGAAAGAAACAAACCGCCTCACCATGGTTTGTTCCAGTCAATTTTCAGCTTACTTCCATGTCTGTCCAGGTATTTCTTGGTGAAATAAAGGTAATCACTATCCAGTGAGAAGCACGTTGTCTTCACTTAAAGACTATTTTTACAGAGGACAGATCTTCGTCACCTGAAGCCTCAGTATCAGAAACCTCAATGATTCAATAATGTTCCTGCAAAGAAGCTACAAATTCTATAAAGTTGATGTTTCACACACAGAAGATCTTTACAAGATTAGCGCCACCAATCCAAAACATCCGCACACAATCCGCCCTTCTGTTCCTGAGATACGGCGCTGAATAATAATTATTTCTTCTAATGTCACAGTAACGATGACTTTCAACCACCAAAATCGAATAAAGTCATCATTGAGTCTGAAAGAAATTCACTCAAATTGTTCCTGAGATGTGGCGTTCACAAGAAACCGAGAACATAACTTCCTCTGCTAACGTGTATCAGCAGCACGGAGCCATAAAAATATATTTCAGTATCAGAATCAGCTTCATCGAGTATTTGAACACTCAGTTACACACTGTTCCAACCTTCACTCAACCTGATAAACAGCACAGCAAGTTCCATACTAACATCTCTGCAGCCAAACATCCACCGATCCACCAGAGGATCCCGTCAGCGGCACGTTTCGCCTCGCCAAGGCGGGAAACGTACATGCAATGAACGAAGGTGTCGTATAAAGAGAGTCAATGTCCGTGTGGGGGGGAGGAGGAAGTTGAAAAGACATACATCACATAACATAACTTATCAGGAAGGAATGCTGGACCACAAGTTTGGTGTGTTTTGGCGTTTATTTTGATTAAACCAAAAAGGTAAATTAATTTAATGATCTCTTCAATCCGGTTGAATAAAAAAAAGACTATTTGGAAAAGTGTCTGAATGTTTGGAAATCAAACTATTTAATGATTTTGAATGTCCCACAATAATGTTTTTGACTGAAAATAAATTAATAAACAATAAATATTGATACATGTGATTTAAATCAGCTTATTGGTACTGTTGGGTCTCTGTAATTAATGTTAAAGAGTTCGGTCTAGACCTGCTCTATTTGAAAAGTGTCCTGAGATAACTTCTGTTATGAATTGGCGCTATACAAATAAAATTGAATTGAATTGAATTGAATTGAATTGAATAGTCCTGCGACACCTTTAAGTCTCTACTCGATGAATATGTCTCCACCTCCGCCCCTGCTGTCAGGTAACATTGGTGCTTAAATCCAAACCAGCTCCCTCAAATGTTTTCATCCGATCTGAATCAACTACACGTGAAATGAAATCCTTGCTGTCGATCTGACGCTGCAGGTTGAGTCCAACACGAGAACCTGAGAAGTTCCAGTGGCTGCAGGCCGCTGAGACCCCCCCAACGTCAGACGCAGCAGCACACGGCTCATTCACGGGGACAAGCTGATGAACAGCGTACGGGGGGGGGGGGGCTGGTTCCAACTCAACCCAACAATTAATAAACATTTCGGCTGCAAATTGGACCACATGGGACGTTTTAGGATGTGAGCACTTTTCATCTGATGAATAATTGATCATGTGAATGAATCAACTTCCTTTCTGGTTTCTGTGTGTGTGCACGTGTGTGTGTGTGTGTGTGTGTGTGTGTGTGTGTGCACGTGTGTGTGTGTGTGTGTGTGTGCAGCAATCAGGTTCATGGTGCCACTGATGTTCAGCTGTTAACACCGAGCTAACTGTAGCATGACTGGCGTTTATCAGGCCGATGCAAACAGGCTGCTGTTGTGTGTGTGTGTGTGTGTGTGTTTGTGAGACCTTGTGGATGTCTGAATGTATTTGCTGTCATTTTTTCTTTGTTTTTATCGGGTTGAGGGAGTTGAAGGGGGAGGATGATGTTATGGAGGTGAGTGTGTCAGTGAGTGTGTGTGTGTGTGTGTGTGTGTGTGTGTGTGTGGATGAGGCAGCGGAGTGATGGATGAAGAGAGGGGATGGAGGGATTATCGGGGTTCAACCCCCCGACTGTCGATTTTACGTCAAGTCAGACGGCTCTCAGCTTCAGGCACCGAAGACTTGATGACTTCCAGTTTACAACACATGAAATTGCTTCTTTTGTTCATTATTCGTTACACTTTATTCTCGTAAAATTTATTTATTTATTTTCCTCTTAGTATGTGTGCAGTGTGTGTGTGAGTGTGTGTGTGTGTGTGTGTGTGTGTGTGTGTGTGTGTGTGTTTATGTGTGTGTGTGTGGTGTGTGTGTGGTGAGTGTGTGTGTGTGTTTCTGTGTGTGTGTGTGTGTGTGTTTGTGTGTTTATGTGTGTGTGTGTGTGTGTGTTGTGGCTGATGGTGCAAATGAGTGATGGTTGCAGGAAAGAAGGGCGAAGGAGAAACAAGAAGATGGGAAATGTAGGAGCTCAGGAGGTGAGTGGTGGATGAAAATGAATGAATAACGAGGAGGAGGAGGTGAAGAAAGAGGGAGCAGAGGAGAGCAGGAAAAGAGCACCCCCCCTTCTTCCTCCTCCTCCTCTCGACCCCCCCCACTACCTCCATATTCCCTCCAACAATCACACACTCACTATCACACACACTCACCCATCTGCTTCTCCTCCTCTCCGTGGGCGAGCCGGTGAACGGCAGTCGGAGTGCCGGCTCAGTTAGTGCCGGCTGAGGGCTGGAGGAGAGGGAGGGAGGGAGAGAGGGAGAGAGCGGTAGTCCCTCGACCGAGTGAGAGAGCCGGCACAGACGTCTGCACCGGAGAGAGAGAGAGAGAGCAGGAGGAGAAAAAAAAAGGAGGTGCAACAGACAAAACACCAGCAAGCAAACTCCTCCTCGTGATCCAGAATCAAAGGTTTACTCCAAATCCACCTGAGAGTTCACACACACACACACACACACACACACACTGTCGCAATGACACCGTGAGCCTCCTCGGGCCGACGGTGCGAGAGGAGAAACCAACACACGGACCTCCAGCACCTCCTCCTCCTCCTCCTCCTCCTATTGCTTCACCTCCTGCTGCAGTTTATCCTCTTTATCCAGTGGCTCAAAGAGAGAGAGAGCGAGCGAGAGACATACAGGAAGAATAGCTTTTCTTCTTCTTTATTCCTCTTTTATGATCCTCCTCTGCTGTGCGCTCCTCTCTCCGCGTCCTTCAGTGTCGGACTGCTTCACAGCGCAGAGAGGCTGGACTGCATTCAGCTCTCTCTCTCTCTCTCTCTCTCCCTCCCCCAACTCCAACCCCCCTCCTACCTCTCTCGCCCCTCTCTCTCCTTAGCTCCCCCCCTCCCCCTTCAATTCAATATCTCTCTCTCTCTCTCTCTCTCTCTCTCTCTCTCTCTCTCTCTCTCTGGCTGTCTAACCATGTCCCCCTCCACCTGCTCGCTGCTCTCCAACGAGGCTCAAGTGCAACGCGCCCCGGCTGCGTCGCGTCACTCCACAACCGGCAATTAACGCCAGCAGCACGCGCCGCGCGTCATGTGACATGAAAGACAGAGAGAGGAGGAAGAAGAGGAAGAATTGGAGGATCCAGAGGAGAAGGTTTTCTAGAGAGAGTTCACATGTTGGGAGGTGAAGCAGGTAAAAGTAGCTACTCACTCACATAATCAGCTAAATGGTGATTCCCATTTCTGCCACTAGGGGGGTTTGATGAGGTGGTGAAGCAGCGTGGGATCATGGGAGTTGATCGTGGTCAGACCTCGAACCCGATAACTTTAGTTTTTACTTTCAGTGAGAGACGACAAAACCCTCCATATTGTGGAGTTCACAACAAGCGGAATAATAATCGGAGTCAGTCTGCGATGTTTCTGTTTTTAATCCGATCGCAGATTTAAAAAACACAAACGAAAAATACGAACTTGCTAACATTATATTAGAGAGAGGACTGAGGCTTAAAGAGTTCAATGTACAACTCTCAATGTAGCTTTTATATATATGTTTGTTTCTTTGTTTTAACATTAGGAATATTTAAGTTTGTGTTTGTTTGTTATTTAAGTTTTCACAATAATAATAATACATTTATTCTGTATTGTTGTCATTTGAAGATACAATGATGAAGACGATGTTAATTTCCTCTACACACAATTTGATTTGTCTGCACAGTAAACAGGTGAAACTCTGTGTGTGTGTGTGTGTGTGTGTGTGTGTGTGTGTCATCCTTCATTATGTGCTGTTGTGCAGTAGGTACACACACACACACACACACACACACACACACCACAGATAAAGTAAAAGTAATATTCTGTTAATAAACTGTTCAAACCTCAGAGAGGAAACCTGACTCAAGAATTCCCACATGACACACACACACCTCCACACATCCAATAAAGTCCACAGTGTGAATGTAAACAGTGTGTGTGTGTGTGTGTGTGTGTGTGCGCGCATGAGTCACTGCATAAAATCTACATCTTAATTCAGTTTCTGTATTTCTGAGAACCAGAATCGTATTTTTTCTTCGCCTTCGGGGCAGAAACACGGAGCTGAAACCAGAACTTCCAGAAGAAGAAACCTTGGTTCAGAAAAGAGAATCCGCCTGCTGTCGTCTAGACATCAGGAGTGAAAACCAAACAATGTAATATCACTGTTCATTTAATATTTATATTGTTAGCAGCCTTCAAACACCATTTCCCACAAGCCCGAGTGCCACAGGCTGCTGGAACTTCTCTCACTGCACCAAGACTTTTCTTTTATACTCGGTACAGATGTTCATTAAGTGTTTTCGGACCGTTCTGTGGACCCCCGAGACCCTCAAACATTATTTCTGTTTGCATTCCCACTGCCGACGAAAGCCAGGCGGCGGTCGTTATAGCAACGTCACATAGAAAGCCTGAGCCTCGCTGTCAGTGGTTGCTGCGTTGGCTCATGTATTGGACCCATTAACGTACTAAAGATTTCCGTTTTAGTCGACTGTTAATCTCGCTATAATGAACTAATTATTGTTATTAATGAACAACGCTGCATTATTGCCACTACCTGCTCCCTGACAGCTGAAACATCCTCTGTAACGTCACTTCATCGTCTCGTTGAATGACCTGCAGTCTTTCTGATGGCCAGCAGGGGGCGCTCCACTGGTCGGATAGTATTGAGTCTTATGGAGAAGTTGAGTTATGAGCTCAGTAAACAGTTTCCTGATGAGTTTCTGCTCTCAGTCTCTAGTTTCAGTCTTCTTCCAGACAGCATGAGGTTCATTTAGTAACTGAAGGTTTCTATCAGCGAGTTATATTTTATGTATATTTCATATTATATGAACAGTAAAGAACAGCTGATAAACTGAACAGTGAACTCAATAACTGCAGGAAGGTTGTGTAAAACCAGAGATTTGGATGATTATTTTAATATTTCAAGGTCTGAATTGTGTGTTTGTTATTTTTTAATCATCATACAGACGATCCAAACTTATAAAAATAACAATTCATTTAGTTCTTCACAGAAATGAACTAACCCCCGAGCATTGACGACCTCTAGTGGAGGTTGTGACCCCCAGGTGGGAACCACTGTTTCAGGGTGGGGCTACCTTGTGATTGACAGGTTGTTCACCATCCGTGAGTCCATTCAGCTGAAACTCACTCTGAGCTCATGAACCTCCCCCACAGCCTCCCCCCCCCGACCCCCCCTCTAACACTGTATCATCTCTGTCTGTCTCTCTCTACGTCCTCATCTGTCTCTGCCATCTTCTTGTTCTCCTCTCTCTAAACAGAGGGCTCCCTGGGGTATACAGTGTGTCAGAGCAACACACACACACTGCACACACACTGCACACACACACACACACACTCTCACATACATACACACACACACACACACACATACACACACACACACACACACTGCACACACTCACACACACACACACACACTGCACACACACACACTCACACAACACACACTGCACACACTACACCACACACTACACACACACACACACACACTTCACATACATACATACACACACACACACACACACACACACACACACACACTGCACACACACACACTGCACACATACATACACACACTGCACACACACACACACACACTGCACACACACACACACACACACACACACACACACACACACACACACACACTCACACACACACACTGCACACACACACACACTGCACACACACACACACACCTTCACAACATACACACATACACACACACACTGCACACACACACACACACACTGCACACACACACACTGCACACACACACTCACACACACACACACACACACACACACACTCACACACTCTCACATACACACACACACACACACACACACACACACACACACACACACACACACACACACACACACACACACACACACAGCACACACACACACACACACTCTGCACACATACTAAGAGGAAAAATAAATAAATAAAATTTTTACGAGAATAAAGTCGTAGTAATACGAGAATAATGAACAAAAGAAGCAATTTCTTCCGAGTCCGTGTGGATCTTTCTTTGAAATAGAAACAGTCGTTTGTGTTTCAAAGTCCTGATACTGAGAATAATTTGAAGTATTTCCTTATTTGTGAAACCGATACCAAAGTATAACTTCACAAGATGCTCAACATTCCTCATTTTAACGCAGCGGGAAGATAAAATTACTACTTTATTCTCGTAATTTCCCAAAACAATAAATCCTTTTTTCTCTCACTCTGGCCCAAAAACTCCGTCGTAGGATTCGATGAGGAATCAGAAAAACCTTCAGAGACTCAAACTGTCTGACAGTAGATCCACTTTAATGTTTGAGTACGACGAGAAAGAGAAATAAATAATGAATGAATGAAAATATATTAACATCACTAACATTATACTTAACATAAATAAAGAAATATCTACATTTTTATATCATATAAACTAAAAACAAACAACTGAAGTCCTGAAACCTGAAATCTCTTCTCATCAGTCCTTGGATGCATTTTCACCTTTGACCTTATTGTATTTTAATTATATATGAATGTGTCGTTTAACGTTGGATTCCCACATTATTAACCAATAAAGGATTATTTCACCTTTCCAGTTCATTTAAGAGTTAGTTTTTATTTTATTAATTTCCACAATTCATACAATTATTATTTGTTTTAATGTGGAAATGTACTTTATTTGTACGTGAGACAAACATTATTGTTCCCAGCAGACTGTTTGTGTGTCGACTCTGGCGCCCCCTGTGGACAAAAGCAGTCGTTCATTGATTCCAATGGGAATCTGACATTAAGACCTTTAAGAGTGTGTTTATGGTCATATAGAGTTAATATATAGTGACACATGTCGAACATCCTTTGTGGTAAAAGAGTGCAGACGTATATGTGGAGTGTTAAAGCACAATAAAATCTCACAGACACGCCGCCGCCCGCCGCCGCCGTCGGAGGCAGATTGAGATGGACGAGCGTTGCTTCACAATATTGACCAACAGAATCACATGTGGATGTTTTTGCTGAGAGCGTGATATGAATTATAATCCACCTGCTCTGCCTTCGTTTCTCCTCTCGCCTTTAAAACCGCCGACTGAAAGGAAAATGTCCGACAGGCCGCTCGAGCTTTCTACCTTTAAAGCTCTGTGCTTGTAGCTGGCTCGTTTCCCGCCTTTGTAACCCTGCAAACAGTAACTGTATTAGCATGTAAGCTAACTGTGAAGCAGCATAACGTCAGCGGGCTACATACTGAATATGCTAACGTTACATTAATGCTAGCTGTTTCCCTCCACTGCCAGTCTTATTGCTAAGCTAAGCTAAACCTTTATATACAGATGTTGAGTCAGTGAGGCTCTTTGTGGCCACAGAATAAATAGATCCTGGTTTTCATTGATCTCCATCCTTCCCCCCGGCCTCTTTGTCCCCTCGTCACGCCTCATCATCCTCACCCCCAGACTGTTATTGATCCCTTTTTAAAACGGCGCCACTCAATTTGTTCATCTGCTGCCTGTGGTTCCCTTTTTCTGAAGTTGGGTGTCACCTCCCATCAGATTCACCTCCTCTCTCTCCTCCTCCCTGCCGTCCCCCCTCGCCTCCCCTCTCTCCTCCTCCCTGCCGTCCCCCCCACCTCCCCTCTCTCCTCCTCCCTGCCGTCCCCCTCCTCCCCCTCACCTCCTCTCCCCCCCTCCTCCGCCTCCTCTCTCCTCCTCCCTTATTATTTCTGTAAACCCACAAACATCAAACTGCAAACATCTTTTCAACTCTTTGTGACAATTTTTCTCTTGTAG